ACATCTAGAAGATTTGACTTGTGTGTCAGATAGAAATAGAAAGGCTTTACAAAGATGTATTGTTTGTCCTGTTTGTGCTCTTATTTATTCATAAAGGTCTGTCTGTCCACTGCTGTACACTTTTTACTACACACCTGAGAGAGCAGGCTGAAACATGACTTGCAAAACTAAGACAAGGGCCCAGTCCATTGAGACCTAAGGAAGAAATAAAAAAAAAGAGTTTTAGATATGTTGAAATCGTTTAACCATATTACTGGCAACCTGAGTCATTTTACTGAAGAAGACCATATGTGAATTCCAGAGCCACATCATCTTTGACCTTGTTTACTTCTTTACTTAAAAACGATATGACCCTAATAAAAAAATGACATGTGACATGCATTGTTTTTCCTAATGCAAGCATGACTCAGCTGTTACACAAAGCAAATTACTTCCCTATTTGTTTTTTCTGGATAAAGAAACAAAAATAGCACTGGGGTTGTTTGACTGCACCACTGTGTCAACACACACACACACACATACTAACTATAATATTTACTTTAATTAAGATAACTGGATTGGTCTTCAGGCTACAGAGCGAGATTACAACACTTGGCAAAAAGGTGATAAATGGCAAAAATTAAAACAAAACAGATAGATGCAAATGATACTAATGAAAAATCACAAGTAAATAGATATTCAATACTCATAAATAAACTTCGACTTCTCACAACAACAAAACAAGAATAACAATAATAAATAGAATAATAGAAGGATAATAAATTTGAGCATACTTGGGCTGCTGTTTATCAGTCAATAGCGTGTTCTTACCAGCTCATTCAGCAGTTTGTTGTTTTTTCATGAGGTGTTTCCTCCTTCCTTCAAGTCAACAAATGATCTGAAGTCTCAGCTCGGTTGAACATTTTAAGTTCCTCGATGTACACGCCCACATTTATTTATTTATTTTTTTTTTTTTACTCTAGCCAACCTAAAGCCCTAAACCTCAGCGATGCTTAACATGAATGTAACGTGTAACAGTTATATAGTGTTTGTACCTTATAAGAAGACGAGAGTGCCACAATAACAACCCCTTGTTGCCGCCCTACTGCGGACTGTGGAGTTTGCTCAAACCTCGACGAGGAAACGAGCTGGTGTAAGCTCCATAAAGCAGTGCAGGGAGACACTAGCAAAGAAAGTTTAACATAAGTTTAAGTTTAACTCAAATTAACGACTGTTTTGGGTGGACACGGAAACAGTGGGCTGTATTTACTGTAAGGAAAGCAGTAGCGGACCGGCTTTATCTGGGAGCCGCCGTTTTACAGTATGGAGCCATAAAACAACACTGATAACAAAACATCAAATCTGAGCTTGTTTGTTCTCCGAGGCGCAACTGTTCAACTTTATTATTTGTTTGTCTTCTGCACGTGCAATAAGGAAAAGAAAACATGATGTTATAGATATGTTTATGAGAAATCCAATCGAGCTGAGTCAGCCGGATTATTTGGAAATGATCTGAGTCTGTGCTTTCAACTCTCAGGTGTTGTCTCAGTAATTTCCAGTTTCACACAACCTCTAGCCACTGCTCCAACCTCAAAGAGAAACACACAGACATGTAAAAACCTCAAAGTTCTGCACTTAAACTATATATACTGCCAATGGTATTATTGTAAGAATGTATCAGACTATCAGATCAATGATATTATTAAATATTCTATTACTGGATTCCCATTTGTGATGCAAACTAGCCTGTAAGAACCAATTTAAGGTGGTATCTTTGTATTATTGAGAAGTTGAATTAACTAATTATCTAAGAGCTATCTAGGTTGAGTGGAGGAAAAAGCGCAATATTTCCCCCTGAAATGTTAAAGTATAGAATTGGAGATCTAGGAGATACACAAGTAAAGTCCAGTTACCTCAAAAGTGGGCAGGAAACTTCTACTACCAACATCTACTCTGTTTTTTTCCCCATCCCTGGTAATACAACACTACCACTTTCCACTTAGCTGCCACTACAGTACAGTGAGTAAATTGGAATTTTCAGTCAGTATTGGTATGTAAATGTCAATAATAGAAAGTACAAACCAAAAGAACAACAATTGAAATTCATGTCCACACAAGTCAGCACACTTCATTTAAAATAACCTGGACATTTGAATGGCAGAAATGATATGTTAGAGGGTTTTACATGGTCAACAACTTCCATCCCCAAGCTGCCAGCCAGGTGGAATTCCCATGTACAAGAGATACGTTCAATCGATAGATCCAATCGTTTTACCAGCTTTGTATGGCCCTTGGCTCTAGTGTGACTGTATAAAACCTTTGTGGAATTTCCATCAGTTCACTTACAGGTTCCTACATGTCGTATATGTATGACACAGACAAATTTATTTTTTGTGATAGGAATAAGATAGTGGCACATGTCTGATCTTATCAGTGTTTCTATCACTAGGGAGTTTATTTTTTACAAAACTTGAGCGATTGTTAATTTCCACCGTATCTTTTGAAAACCCCTTGAAAAATCTGAAATTGTTATGGAGTTTACTACCCATACTCAAAGGTAAAAAAAAAGATTTGACATGTCCTTGGCACGGATCTTGTGTAAACACACTTTTTCTGTGAAGTCCAGCATTGGTTGAGGTCCTATGAGATTTTTAGGACAGAGCTGTGAGTATGGCTCCTGAGATCATACTTACATCTAAGAGAATATGCATTATATCCTAAATCAAGTATTCTGTTAAAAATTGATGTATTTTAGTATACTGAAAGTTGGCCAGTCCCCAATCCTGTCATAAGGCATTCATGTAAAAAGATAGCTTGGCTTGATATGGATCACAGCATGCATGAAGATTTTCACTTTAACTGATCCAGTCAGAACTACACAAAAAAGCAGCTTGGGATGTTAACTCTCCCACAAAGTTAATGTATTAAACCCAGTTTCAGGATTTATATGTGCAAAGTCCGTCCATTCATCCATTACCCACTTATTATTCCAATTATTCTGGTTTTAAACATTAAACTCTCTGCTAGCCTTAAATAAATATTGCACTTTATAGTCCACTACACTTCTGTGTATATCTAAATACTCTTTGCATCTTTACATACAAAACATTATTTCTCTCATTAGGTCACTTTAGAGAAATTTAACTGAAAGTAACAAATGAAGTCACCTGAAAGACGTAGCAGTTCGGCCTGGAGCATTAAAAGTCTGTTTGAAGATGACTTTAATGCGGGGAAAACTGAATACAGCCGTGCTTTTCAACAGAGTTTCAGGTTATCAAATATCCTCAAATTCCAAATACACTTTTGTGACCCAAAGTTAAAGTTATGGTGTAACACAAATATCTAAGGGCATTTTTAAATCAATGCATACATAAATACACATAACTCACTTATTTTTTCAGTCCAATTCAAACACATTTTCATGGCATTTTACTTCTGCAGCTGCCATGAAGGACCATTTTACAGAAAACTGTATTTTACTGTAAAACATGAAGAACAAAGGGGAAGTGGTGGTCCGTATTGTGGTAATGTTTTTTTAAATTATTGGTGGAAACTTTAGATTAAAATTATATTAAATTATTGGTGGAAACTTTAGATTAAAATTATATTAAATCATCAATTTAGATTAAATCATCAGGAAATGCTTCTAATTTTGAGACCTATACATTTGATTCCAAATGCAAACAAGCAACTTAAGGTATTATGCATGTGTATTTTGGACCTATGACCCACAAACACCAACAGAGGGAGCCATTTCTCAACTAAATGCAACCAACTTGGGACCTGCAACTGTATAATAACTGAGACAAGCACACACCACTTTACCACAAGCACTCTATGTAAACTCAAATCCTTTTTTTAAAACTTAAACTACTCAGTGTTGAATAATTGGTGACCTCCTTTGATTCATGAATGTGATTTATCCCTGGTAAAAAAAAATAAAAAAAATAAAAATCACTATGAGATTCCTTTGCTTTCTAATGAGTGTACAATTATTCATTTTGGGGGTAAAATATCATTATAAAGCTCGTATAATGTTGATTTGGATATTTGTAAGTCTAGGATCGGTACAGTGTGGTTTTGTTGTTTTATTTTGAAGGTTTGGCCGGAAGTACTCAGTTTATTTATTCCTATTGAAGAAGCGTTGGAAGGACATTAGCTGGTTTCGATGCGGCGCACACACGTTTCTTCTGACAGACACATTCCCCTGAACCCTCGTTAGTCCTGCCTCTGTGACCAGTATCACTATATTATTAAGCTTACCGTCTTCAAACTATAGTAGGTATGTAAAGGTTTCGTTTTCAGTTAGCCAAGCTACCACTCAAGGTTAAAATCTGTTTCTGTTTCATGTTAGTAACAGTAGCACATATTGTTGTGTACCAAGTTAACTAACAGGAAATCCCACAAAGCACAGCTAAGCTTGTTAGCAGCTAACAATAGCAAGGTGTGTAACGTTAGACGGTGTTAACATTACGTTAACAGGAGCTCTTGAGTCAGCTATTGTAAGTTATAGTACAACACTGTAGTGCCATTACATGTTTAAGTCATTAAAGTTTCAAGGCTGGTTGTACCTCCCTCCATTGATAATTCTGAATAACTATCTTTAGGTTAACGACGCCGCCATGGGGTTTCTGCTGTCTAAATCCATGGACGAAAACATTAGAAAGCAGCAGGAGTTCATGCTGCACAACTCCAGGCTGCAGGTGAGTGAAGGTACACACACTCACATAGTGTCAGGAGTCCTCCAACCGGTGGTCCCTTCCCCCTTTCTCTCTCTCTCCCCCTCGTTTCCTGTCACTCTGCAGAGGTCACTATTACAGAGGATGTGTGCACTCATGTCTTTACTCCATGTACCTACAAACCTTCATCAGGGGAAACATTAACAATGAAGTGTTCTAGCACATGTGCTTGATTGTACGTGATTCAAATGTTGCTAAAGCATCAGTCATGTCTCTGTCAAGGTTGGGGTTTTTTTACTGGGCAAAGCAGGCAACTACCCCCAATGCCCCTCAAGTCCCAGGCTCACTGTGTCATTTTGTTGAGGAATATGGGAATTTACATTATACTTTTTATTATTATTTCAGACACATTGAGGACCTTTAAGCTGGGTCCTGATTTTACCTGCTTTAGTGACTTAAACAGGGTGTTAAGATGAATATTTCAGTTGATTTAATATATATACACATATAGATATATGTATATTAATATATTCTTAAAACAATATATTTTGAATCAAGTTGCCACTGCTAACATGAGGCCATGTACACTGATCTGTCCTATCCATATGTATTTCTTGAATCATCAAAGCCAGAGCCACAAACTTCACTTCCAATCTCAGCATTTCCCTTTAGAGACCACAGGTTTTATTGCACTCATTGTTGTTTTGTTTTTTCATTTAAACAAAGATTGTTTTTTTTTTGTTTGTTTGTTTTTTTTATTATTATTTCATCTTTTTGCGGGCAATTTGTAGTGATTTATTCATGCCTGCAAGCTGCTGAGCAGCAGGTGGGATGTGTGACTGTCATAACACCAATGACATTATCTGACTTAGGCCCAAAAGGTTTGTTGTATTTTCTGCTCCGTAATTTTCTCCTGCTCTCCCAGCTGTAAATGTGGTAGAGGATGACTAATATTATTCAGTGATGGCAAAGGTTTGGCAATTGAGTTTCCGAGCACCTTCATTTGGGTTGTGACGATGACTCAAAGGTAAGTATTAGCTACATGTTTACACATTGCTGTAGTGGATCTACATTGTTTCATTGACTAAACATACTACAGATAGTTTCATATTAATAATCCTCACTTAGAATAACTTTTGAATGCAAATTAAAATTTCATTTTACCATCGTCTGTAAAAGCACAAGTGACAATAGCGTCTAGTTTAATTTTGACCTTTCAGATCTTGGCTGAACAAAACATACTCTGGGTCTTCAAGGTCGTTAATAGTCAAATATTATGTTACTGTCTGTAATAGGAAATCATTTTACCCCCTTTTTTTTCCCTTCAACAATGAAATTGTATTTTTAGAACAGCAGATTTAATGTGTTGGATTGACCCTAGCAATTTTAGAATATCTGTGAAGCAGTAGCTGTTGCCTCCCCCTGCATTAAGCTGTCAAAAATGATTGCTTGCCAATGTTTCTAGTCACATCACTAATAGCTAATTGATCCTTTCCAGAGTCTTGCCTTGTGGACTTTAAAGTCACTGGGCATTGTGTTTAAACCATGGGGTCTATCTTCTATCGAAATTCATCCGATATGGGTGTGTTTTTATGACACATGTCCTGAGGATAAATGGTAGCTATGAGATGATGTAAATGGCGTTTTTGTTCACTTTTTATTTAAGAATGGGTTGGCTGTTAATAGTAGGGTTGTGCTTTATATTGACAGTCATTGAACTCGAGTGCGGTTGAGTGTAAAGTAGGTAAGCAAAGACCTCCCTACAAGGTTCTTGATTTGTTATATTTCACTGGTTTTTGACCACTGCAATCATTACTTTCTAAATATAATGCAAATACTAATAAATGCAAATTTTGCTTGGGTAGCCCCCTAAAACATCACATTTCAATATAAAACAATTACTTGACAGAAGTAGATGCATTAAACATTAAATACTTGTCATAGAGTAGCACAGTAGAACACAAGGTGATTTGAAAAATGAGCAAAAGACTGATCAGATATAGGTAAAACAACAGTGAAATAAATAGAATAAAGGGGCTGAAATGGTGTAATATCAAGTTCCATCAAGGAATATAGTGTTTGTTTGATGTTAGCTGTATCCCTGAGATGAAAGAAGCAAGAATGAACCAGTTGTGTGATGTTCTGATTAAAATGTAAATATGAATCACAATAATATTTCACTACAGGATTTTGTGCACTAAATATTTGAATAGAAAGCAGAGGGGATGTCAAAAGAGGTTTAGCATTAGGGTAAGGACACATTGTTTTGTCAGAAAGGGACAGAGAATGGTACCCTGAGGAACCCCCACGACTAATCAGGCATTAAGTAATTACAATAGACTCTACAAATGTACAGTTTCAGTCATATAAATATAACCATTTATCATCATTCATATCCTTTCGAAAGATGCAAAATACTAAACTAATTAGGAAAACGTACTCGGGAGAAAGTGTCCACCAAATAACATCATCTTCTTCTTCATCTATCTTTTGTGTGTTTTCGAATGGGGTTGTCTATGTTGTAAACTGTCTCCCTCTCTCATTCTCTTATGTCATCTTCTCTCCCTTCTTCCAGTATGTAGACTGTGATCATTTATGTGTATGTTTTCCACGTATTGTCCCGCTCTGTGCATGCGTGTAGCCTTTTGAAAATGTCAGTGAATTTCCCGCTTACATTTCAGCTCTGCTCTCACTTCGTCACCTTCTGAGTGGACTCTTCGTGGCTCATTTCTTTCTTTCACTTTTTATTTGACCGCCTTTTCCAGTCACCGTCTCACAGTCATTATGTAATCCTCCGCTGCTTGTCCATTCTTGCCTCCAAATCAATTGGTCAGCCTTTTGTGATGTTCCCATGAGAGAGACATGATCTTGACTAATTTCAAAGTACACACACACAGGTAAAGGTAACACAATATTGCTTTGTCATTTGGTGAGTGAGTCAGTTCGTCATACATGGGGTTAAAAACTCATAGTCATCACATGGAAATAGACCATGGAAACATGAATATAAAAAATGACAAAACGCAATAATACCAGACAATTAACAGTTCACAAAACACAGATATTTAGACGTACGCAGTATGTTTAGGGTCATTGTTATGACTGGGTGTTGAACCTCAATATCTATCTGGTACCAACCGAAATGTGTATGACGCAACAATTAACTAGAACTGTCAAGTATGGAAAGATTACAGTTATATTACGTATTCTTGTTAAAGTCTGTCTAAAGGAAATTCAGTGATTTCTCTTTAAACACATTATATATGTGAAATATATAAAACAACTGTTGAGAACATTATAAAAGACTGTGGTATTGCATTGTGGAGGTTGAACGTTTTTGTCTCTTACCAGTTTTAGGTTGAGGATTTTTTTGGGGGCGGGGCTAAAAGTATGGCTCTGGAGACACCAGCGCTGTAGCAGTATAGGGACCTTCCCTCAGACAAAGCTTGGAAAAAACCATCCTCTCACCTCTCCTAAGTTCACTTGCTTAGTTTCGCTCTATTCCTTGATGCTATTATAATTATGTTATTTGATCCCATAGACACTCAACAACTGAGCCAGGATAGTCTAATATTTCTGTCTGACATGACTCCAGACTACACTGATCTCATAAAAAGGTCTGTCCTAAGGCATTTATCAGTTTCTGACTCTGGAAAAGTGGGGAAAAAACAGTACAATTCCCCAAAGCTACTGGATCAGTTCTCTCATTAACCAAACATATTTAGGCTATTATATGTGACCTCTTTTTAAAAAATAATGTAATAACCAGTGTAATATCTTTTCACTTCCATTCACTGAGTCCTCGGCCCCTGAAGCGAATGGAGCCCTGCGGAGGTCCGGCCTCCCACTTGAAAACTTGGCTTAGACATTTGAGAGAAGTTTGGCTTCTTCTGTTCAATTAATAAAACGTGTTTTATAGATAAACATGTTTATATTTCATTGCGCTACTGGTACCAAAACTCAGAGATTGTGTCTGGGCTAGTACTGGAAATGTTCAAATGATACCCAATTACTATTCATGTTGACAGAAAGCACAAACTGTCTGGCAAAGCAAGCTTTTCTTCACACGTCCAAGATCTGTGATTGTGACCAGACATTGAGTGATTTGGGTGCTAACAGCATTTGTGTTCACATCTGTGAGGTTGGAAGTAGATTTAGCAGCTGTGTGTGTGTGTGTGTAGTTTTGATGAGTTTGTTCCTGTTGGTGACTGTGAGTGTGGTGAAGTAGCAGATGGAGCAATAGACGAGGACTGGCTGTTTGATGCTTTGATACAAGGGGAGCAGTAGGTGGAGTGCAGCTTCCGGATGGTGGAGAGCTTCTGCTGGCAGGGTTCATGATTGGTGTTTATGATTGGAGTGTTCATCAAAGCGGAGTTAAATGTCCACGAGGATTCCCACATATTAGAAACTCAGTTTGATGTCAGCTGTGTCAGTCCTGATAATGCGGAGGTTGTGGAGAGAGATTCATTTGTAGTTGATCCAAAAGTGATCAAAACAGTACGTTTTGTTAACAGTTTATGTATGTACAAACAATTACATCATGTCTAGCTTTTAGCGCATTAGCATCTGCAGTCCTCGTGAACACCATAATGCCAATATAACCAATAACAGCTACAGCTGAAACAATTTATCGATTTATCAATAAGTCAATCAACAGGAAACTATTCAACTATTTGGATAATCAATTAATCTTTTCAATAATCATTTTAGCAAAAATAATAAAAACAAAGATTTTGTGGTTCCAGCTTCTCAAGTAAGAAGATTTGCTGATTGTCTTGTCATATATCTTTGTAAACTGTATTTACATTATTATAATATTACAATATTTTGGACATTTGATTTAACAAAACAAGACATTTGAAGCTGTTGCCTTGTGATGGATATTTTTCCTCTATTTTCTTAACACAGACTAAGGATTTAGTCTATGTAAAAAAAAAAATGGATTTGTGTATCATTATGGATATATGTATCATTCGAGCAGACTTTTCATGAGCCAGGTAGAGTGGCAAGCTACCAATCATGAGGTGTTGGCACATTCACTGATCGTACTCAGGTTAAGCCTCCACTAAAACAATTTCCATCTCTGAAATGTTTGACCCCCTGTTAAAAGAAACTTTCTCATGAGTGACTCATGGGATAGAATAATTATCATTGACCAGAAGCAGGTAGTTTTATATTGATGGTTTATTCAAATAAAACATCCAGTGCCTTTGGTCTACTTCCTGTTTTGTGACCCAGATGAGAGAAGGGAGGACTTTGTGAGAGGTGACGTCCATGTCACCAGAAACCATTCATCACACGTTTCCCGCTCTTGAGGACCGTAACAGTACTGTGAATGAAGGTGTAATTTCCCCTTTTCTGTCCTTGGAAAGAGGTCTAAATGAAACATAATTCAATTCTTGACTCATTATCAATACCTGCTGCATTAGCTTTCTATTTCAACTTTGTCTACTTTTAACAAGGCTATCTTTGAGTTCACTGTTCACTAACTTAGCTGAGCGGACCCCACAAATAATGAACAAACCGTGTCGATTACAGAGGCTATTCCTGGGATTTCCATTACTCTTTGAAGGCTTTAAAAGGTTTTGAAAAGTATAGCTTCCTCCTTCCTCGAGAGGGGTAGCACTTGTAGTCAGCTTGTTTACAGTAATTTAAACTATTCCAGTGGGAATCGAGTTTCATGACAAAGCACAGGAGCAAAATGTACGTTGAAACTTAATTGTGCACAGAATGTTACACCCGTGTTTCCAGTTATGGACCATACCATTATGCATGGGTTTTTTTTGTATTAAAGACACTATGAAGTAGGGATATTTCATGAAAAGACATATGCAGTGGTATAAATAAATATATCTAATGTCTAAAATACATCTTTAATATTCACAAATTTTAATTAAACCACAATCAGTCGAGCACCATTCTTAAAACAATATTTTAGATTAGATTCAAGGGTTGATTGCACTTCATTAATGCAAGTGCCTTTTACTGTACTTTTACTTTTACCAGTGACGTCTCTGCCCGGTGATTACAGCTTAACCCTCCTAAGCTTCTTAATTTTATGCCTTTCCTTCTCCTCTATTACTGACATTTAATAGTAGCCAAGCGTTTTAGTCATCAAATCACCCCACTTGACCACATCCTGGTCACAACAGGAGAACAAATTATCAAAGTCATTTATTCACCACAAAAGGTATTTGATTAGTGCCATTTCGATGTCTATTATTAGATTTGCCCACTGATATGTAGAAATGTAGCACGCAAAACTTCTTATAGCACAATTTATGACAAGAGGGAGAGATTAGAATTACTTTCTAGTATTAAATCAGATGTGTTGTTTCTTTTAGGCTGCATCCACAATAGAAGCAGCTACAAGATCTGAGTATAAGGCGTACAATGGACTCGCAAATGTGACAAAAAGATGTGTGATTATAGGAAACCAGAAAATTCATTACATCGAACATGTTAAATCATTTCTAATCACTCTTTATTGGAGGAATATGAATTATAGTGGCTCAGGACCATTAGCACTCCAATCAACAGCTGATGCCTGCTGTCAGGCCCTGAGGGAGGTTTGACTCATCATTCTCTTCCTCATTTATCCTGCTTGACAAGTTAAACACATTTAGTTCTGGGAGTTGGTCAATGTGAAGCCGACTCCCTCATAAAACATTGTTAAATTAGCTATGACTCGTTCATTCAGAGGCCTGCTGTAGCATGTAGCCTAGCTTAAAAATGGCTCACCCTCCTCTGTTCTGGCCTAATGCATGTAAATGTTTTTCATATATGTTGATTGGCTCAGATTTTTAGCAACCCGAAGTGAGCATGTCTTTCTAATCCTTAAAGCTTGTAATCTAAGTGTAGGTTATGTGCACTGTAGTACTATAGGACCATTTATGTGGGCATGGAAAATGTATGAATGTCCTGTTTAGTTGTTTGTTGTTTAAAGAGCTGCACATCTGGGCTGTTAATTCCAGCGGCACAACCTTTCTGTTTGAGAAATGTTTTCTATGCAGACTGGATATATGAGGCATGTCTCTGTTAGTCGCTGTTTTACAGGCCCCACCTATTTAATTTAATTCACCTAAGCTTCAATTCCAAGTAATGTTCAGCCATTAGCAGATATACATAATTGTTCGCAATTATGGGCAGAAAGTCAGAAATCAAAACGTTGCTTCCCGGACATGTTGTAATTTCTGTCATCCGCTGCACGTCATCGACTCACTTGAGTGGCAGTGTGGTCACTTTTTTTTAAACCTTGCATCGACAGTGAGATGGTGACACTGTCCTTTTAAGTGGAAATAAAAGCTCATCTTTGACACGTTCACTTTTTGAGAATAAAGGCTTTTTGTGTGAGAATGTCAGTCAGTCCTCTCAGTTAGCAATTGTTATGCAGAAAGTACGTGTTTCTGTGCATGTCGATGTGAGCGAGTGTAAAACAGGAAACGGCAGACAAAAGGTCATCTGACTGAGGTTCATCAGCATGGTCACTGTTTCTGAGGCGGGATTGACTGTCTCTCGTTCCTTTGACCCTGCCTG